ACAATCATCGATAAACAAATAAATATTAATAGACATACTTTGAATATCATGAAAATGCTGTCAAAACATATCTGTATTTTGTTCACTACAAATTGTATCTTTTTTTTATTCGTCTACACAAAGTTTGAAGATATAAGCCACTGAGAAAGAAATTCGATTATCTGTACTGTGTTTCAAGAAATGCAGCTATTTTCGTGATAGTAGAATATGGATTTAATTTTTTAGACACAAAGATGAAAGTCATGAATGATAGTGATAGTAATTATTGCCGAGTTGCATTTCTGGTGGGAAAACGGTCTAATACAGGGAAAAATAAGCAACATATTATCTTCGGTATCTGAATTTTTGGATATTTTTTCCAGTTTCTGATTGAAAATGATTGAACTCTTCAATTCCTGCTTTAGAAGCATTTGTTTAAATGTCTGCACGTAAAAAGAACGGTTACAGCGCAAAGTTCCATAAGTATGAAGCTAATGACATTGTTTACGTTTTGCGATTCATCATTTAACAACGTTTCCATTGTGCTAGAAAGAAGTGGCATTGCATAGATCTATTGTTGATTAGTTTTTTCTGGAAAAATCTTAAAAACAGGATTTCTGTGAGAGGCGGGAGATATTTGGATACATCGTAGTGGACGATTGTAGAAACAGCTGAACTAAGTAAATGAAGTAAAACGTTAATATTTGTCTTGTATGTTGAGAATAGGCTTGAATTAGATATTGAAGTTAATAAGAATTGCTCGTAATATCGTTCGAAAAGCTCAGATTTGTGAATAGAGACTTGGAGTATTTCTCTAGCATCAGACAAGAAAGCGATTCGATTGGCTAATATACATTAGAGTCAAATGAGTTTCGTTTTGAGGATCGCATCTTATGTTATTTTCAGTCGGTCAACTTTGAATACTCGATAATTCACCGTGAAGAAAAATCCCCGGTATTTTTATTAGTGTGGAGAAGAAATCGATCCAGAATCGTAAATCTTCCTAGTTGAAGTAGGTTAACCAATAATCATCGAGGATCTGATGTTGGCTCTTGTTTGACTTATTCATAGAGAGTGTTCGGTGTCAGTGATAAAAGCTTGAGTAAGGACAATTCTGCTCATTTTAACTGCGAGTTTGTGACGTATTCAAATGCTTTTGAATACATCTAGGTCAGAATATTTACCGGCCAAATAATGCTTATTTTTCAAGAAGTTCGAGAATCTTCTTGATAGGTTTTTTAGGAGCCGATCGTATAGTAGCTCAGATCAAGATGAAGGGTTAAAGGATGCGTTTCGAACGCATTGTTTATAACGTTCTATTTAGGTTCCTCATGACGTTTTAGATAATCTCGAATGTCGAATGTGATAGTTTATATACTGGCACCCCAGCTGCTTCTACAAAGACCGCATTTATTTTCGTATATAGAGATTTTATACAATTTCTGAAATAATGTCCACGAAAAAGTTATATAAGAAGTTAACTAAAGAAGAACGAAATAACAAGACATGAGATTTCACAAATAAAAAGTTATTTCATCAAGATACATTTCACATAATGAATCAAGAAACAAAACGATCAAGAGAAAGTTCAAGTAATAAGAAATTACTTTTTCGGATATTAATATTATTTCATACTATGATTCATTGTTGATAATGTCACTGGTTCTTCATTTTTATTACTAGTCATGTGTAGTATTTTCATTATTTGTAGTTGGATTAGTTTTTGTAGAAGTTGATCTTTAAAAAAATACAAATCTATTTTATTAAACGTCACTTGAGTTACAACTTACGATGATTTATTTTCTCTAAATGAATGTCCTCATCTTTGATTACCACGAACAATTTTACTTGATTATTCCAAAATCCTTCTAGCTTATCATTGTCGTTGTAAAAAAAAACAGCTATTATCACTTCTGAAATAGATATCTAACTACTATACTAATGATTCTATAATACAGGCTAGTTACCTTTTATTTTCATTATTCGTTCATTGTCTTGTTCATGTTGTCGATTAATTATCTTTTCGTTGGTGAATAGTTGATTAATGAACATTTTCATAAGATCAGCAGAATTTTCAATTACAATTACAGATTATAGATTTCGTCCTTTGTAATTCTAAAAGAAGAAGTGAAAAAAGAGGAAAACAATAAAAACTTACGACAACTGGAAGATTAATAGGTGTTTTCACTTGTTGTTCAATTCTAGAACAAAAAGGCATATATTATCAATTAACTGTGGCTCTATTGTTTAAAAATGCCATAGGTGATATCTGTTATATACATATAATTTTCAAACCTTAGACTTTTTCAACACATCATCGATATCAATGATCAAGTGTAACTTCTTTATTTCTCGACTATATAATGCTAGTTTTACACTTGATCAAAATTCCATCTTACTATTCATTGTCTGGACCAAATTTTTGATTAGTAATCTTAATGAAAGAAAGCGCTATTACCTTATGCAAACGTCGAGAACAAGTTTGAAGTTACTTATCAACATTTTCAAATTTTTGTTTCAAATGCACTAGTTTGTTTTGTTAAAGCATCAATTTTTTTATTAAGATCTTTAAATATATTTTCAATGGTTTTAAGATTTACCATCAATAAATCTTGTGGTACATCATCCATTTGTTCTTGTAAAAGTTTTCTTTTGCGCTGAAGCGTATATAATAACCACGTAAACCGAAAAATAAGTTTTGTGGCGTTTGAATATTTGTTTAGCACTATTTCTGTTATGAAATTGTTAGGGTTGAATTATCGGTCAGTTTATTTTGGATGAATATTCAAGAATGAATCAGGTGGAAGAAAATGAAAGAACGAATATGTGTATAATAAAGAAAGAAAACAGAAGAGAAAGAGAATGTATGATTGTGTATGTAATACACAGATCATAACACTCCCCCCTGTCAGCGAAAAAAAAACATTTTTTTTTTGTTTAAGAAAAGGAATGTAGATTGATAAGAAATAGAAATAGAAAATGTGATAGAAAACAATAACAAATATAACTAGACAATGATTAATATGAAGGAAATAAATAAATAAATAATGGATCAGATTGTGTGAAATGATATACTTGTTAGATAACTGCCACAAAATTAATCTGAGATCCAAATATAGTTAAAAAGGCGAAAATTCCATAAATGTAATAAGTAAAGGATAGAAGAAGTTAGTATGATTGAAATATAAATATACATTATGATAATAAGGAGTATAATCAGTAAATGAAGTTTAGATAAATAATACGGACAAAATTAATGTTAGATTAAATCATATAATAATATCATCATTAACAATAATATACTTGTCAATTAAAATTGGTTAAATACATTTTTTTTTTGGTGGAGTATTTGTTGTTTATGAATAACATTATTGTTTAATTATTCATTAATGGACGTAAATCGTTTACATGAATTTGTAATATTGATTTATTATTAATATCTTCGACTAAGTATATTGGATGTTCTTTTTGAATAATAACTTTCGGGCTAATTGAAAATTTCGGGTCTAATTTTGATCTATTAGTAAATATTCGAGTTAACACATTTGTTCCTATATTATATTCAGGATTTTTACGATGACGATTATAACAAATTTTTGATTGTTGTTGTTGTCTTAAAATATTTTGTTTTACTGTACCACGAAAATATTCTAAATTCCGGACCAGTTGTTCAAAATAATCATTTGGATGATGAAATGTAAATGATGTTGGTGGATTGTCAATTGGAAGATTTGGTTTTCGTCCAAATGTAAGTTCAAATGGGGTCATGTTTGTTGTTGAATGAACACCAGTGTTATAAGCAAATATAATTAAACATAAATATTCGTCCCAATTGTTTAATTCATCATCAGTTAGTTTGGCAAGTTGAGTAACAAATGTTGCATTAAACCTTTCAACTTGGCCATTACTTTGAGGATGATAAAGTGTGCAAAATATGTGATGATAACTAATTAATTTTGATATTGATTGCATTAATTGGTTTTTGAAACTGATACCTTGATCAGTAATAATTGCTTTTGGTACACCATAATGACATATAAATTCTTTAAAAATAGCATTTGCAGTAACAGGTGCAGAACATGTAGGTAATGCTACTGCAGTAACAAATTTTGTATAATAATCAGTAAGACATAAAACATATCGATTATCTTGTGGTGTTGTTGGAATGGTCTACAAAAATCTATTCCGATTAACTGATTAGGTCCATCAGGAGGTGTAATTGGTTGAAGAAAACCTGGATTTTTTTGTCGACCACTATTATATGCTTGACAAACAACACAAGATTTTATATAATTAATGATAGACGTTTTCATATCTGGCCACCAATATGGTTGTCTAATTTTATCTAATGTTCTTCGAACGCCAAAATGACCACCAATTAATGGATTATCATGATAAGAAACTAATAATTTATTTATCATAGAATTTGGAACATAAATTAATTTTCGTTTAATTTTTCCACGTAAATGAGATAATAATTTATACAATATATCATTTTGATATTCAAATGACATATTTGGACGTTGTTTTAAATCATTAATAATTTTTTGAATTTGAGGATCATTTTGTTGGTGCTCTTTTAATTTAGTAATATCAAAATAATCATCAGCATTATGTAAATCATTAGAATCATGAGAAGATGGTGATGAAGAATTTAAAGAATTTTGTTGTTATGATGATGATGAAGTTGAATCAATATTATGAGATAAAAGTTTAGCCTTTGATCGAGTAACAACTACACCAAGTAATTGAATAGAAGATGATTTATCTTTTGTAAATCCTAAACCATAATCATCAGGTAATTCATCATCAGATGCAATAGGATGTCGTGAAAGATAATCAGGTAAACAGTTGTATTTTCCTTTAACATGTATAATTTGTTGAATATTAAATTCTTGAAGTAATAATGATATTTTTTCAACACGTTTATTTGATATTTTTTTTATTCATCATATGACAAAGAGGACAATTGTCAGTATAAATAATAATATTACGACCAAGTAAAAAAGACCTCATTCTTGTAATACATTTAAATATAGCTAATGCTTCGAGTTCCATTGGATTATAACGTGTTTGTGAAGGAGATAGTAATTCAGAATGATAGTAAAGAACTTTTCTAACATTATTAATTTCTTGATAAAGAATACCACCAAAACCAATTTTTGAAGCATCAGTTGATAATAAAACTGGGTGTGTATCATCAGGAAAATTTAAAAATAATGGAGTTGATGTTAATAATTGTTTTAATTCATTAAAAGATTTTGATTGTTCATAACCCCATTTAAATTTATGTCGATTATGCTTTGTAAGATTAGTGACTGCATGTATAGGAGCTGCTATTGATGAAAAATTTGGAATAAATTTCCGATACCAGGAAAGAGCTCCAATAAAACGATTAGCTTGAGCTAAAGTTCAAGGTTCTGGTAATGATGTAATTGATTTAATTTTTTCTGATGTTGGACTAATTGTTGTTGGTGTAATTACATGTCCTAAATATTCAATTTGTTGTTTAGCTATTTCACATTTTGCTGGGTTTAATATTAAATTATGTGATTTTGAAGCATTTAATACTTGTTCTATATGATTTAAATGTTGATTAAAATCCTTCGAGAATATTATTATATCATCAAGATATACCAAACAAAATTCAGAATAAGCACCTAATACATTGTTCATTATCCGTTGGAAGCTTGGAGGCGAATTTCGAAGACCTTGAGGAAGTACCAACCATTCGAATAATCCGAATGGAGTTATAAAAGCTGTTTTAAAACGATCTTTTTCATTAATTGGCAATTGCCAAAAACCAAATTTAAGATCAAGCTTACTAAAGTAATGATAACCAGCACCTAATGTTTGAAGAGTTGCCTCCATGTTAGGAAGAGGATAATTATCTTTAATAGTGATGGCATTCAGCTTCTTATAATCTATAACTAATCTCCAAGTTTGGTCTTTCTTTTTTACTAACAATGCTGGTGCTGCATATGGTGATTGAGATTCTCGAATAAGACCAGCTTTTAATAATTTATTAATAATTGATTTTAATTCAGCAATTATTGTTGGATTACCAGGGTAACATTTTGAAACACGTGAAGTATGAGGATATGTCTCGATTACGTGAGATAATTTTGTTTATGCAACTGAATATTTACTTGTATCAAATGTAGATTGAAATTTAAATAATAATGACTGAATTAAATCACGTTGTGTTTGATCAGCAATGTGAAATAATAAGTTTGAAATTGTTTGTTGAGTTGTAGGAAGTGGTGGTGGAGTAGTAATTGTATTTATTTGTTGAGATGCTGAATTACATGTATTAGGTGTAATTGAATTTTTATTATCTGTAATATTATAAGAATCAGAATTATTATATGTTGCGATTCCAATAACTGTTCCTTTAGGTAAATAACGTGGTGAATTTGATAAATTACTAACAGTTAATAATGTTGAATAATTTCTTATATTTAATATTGAATGTGGTACGTAAATGGAAGTTTTTTGAATAAAATTAGATGATGGACGAAATGGTAAAGTTGCTGTTGAAATATTAACAGTAACAGGAATTTGTTGTTTAGATCTAGGTAATATCTTTATAGAACGTGATAATTTAACAGGAAAATCAACAGGTATTGTTTCAGTATAAATTGGTATAACAATCTGTTGATCATTAAAATTAAATAAAATTGATTTTTTTTTGGTTGAATATTTAAATCATATTTTGTAAGATAATCCATACCAAGTATAAGATTAGTACACAAATTTTTTGTAACAAATGCTGGTATAGATGTTATAACATCACCAATAGTAATATTCAAATAAATAATTCCTGTCACTATAAAATAAGTTAATACATCAGCCATAAAAAATTTTTGATGTCCAATAGCAGAATATTTAAATTGATTAAAAAGTTTTAAACATTTTTCATTAATAAACGAATATTGTGCGCCGGTATCGATTAGAATTTTCATTTGTTTATTGTTGACATAAGTGGTAATATAAATAAGAGAAAGTGTAGATGGATGTTGAGATGAATTGGCGAAGTCAATACCATCATTCATTGACTTCGCTTTCCGAAACGGTGACAATGACGAGCTATATGATCTAAAGCACCACAAATTGAACAACGTTGAAATGGTTGTGGTTGTTTAGGATTATTATTTCGATATGTTTTATTGTTAAAGGATGATGAAGAAAGATTTGATGATGGTTTACCATTAAATGATTGACGAAGTGAAGTTGAAGATTGATTTCTATCATACGAATTAGAAGAAGATGGTTTAAAAATCCGGTTTAAATAATGATGTTGATTATTATTATTATTATCAGGTGAATAATTGTTATCGTATGAATAATTATTATCGTACGAATAGCTATTATTATAATAATCATTGTTAACCATAGAATTTGTATTATAATCATTAAATTCATTTGTTGATGTATAATTAGTTGAATTAGAATAAGATGATGAAATAGATGGATGTGAATCATCATGAATCATAGATTGATTAATAAAAGTAGTATTTAATGATGTAAGATCTTCAGCAATTTTAGCTTGAGATAAAAATTCTTGTGTTGTTTTAGGGTAATTTCTCCGTGTTTCAATTGATAACGATGGACGAAGACCATTCATTAAATAATGTACCTTTGTATTTTCATTCATATCTGGATCAGCTTGCTGTATCAATTTAAGCATTTCATTATAATATTAGAAAACTGATTGATGAGGTGTTTGATGATATTGTTGAAGTTTTTTAAATGCTATATCTCGTTGCAGATTAGAATGATAGGATTTTTTTATTTCTGTTACAAATTGTGACCAAGAAGTAAAATATTTTTTATTTTGTCGATAGCATTGTTGAGCATCACCTTTTAAACAGATTTGAATTAAATTTAATTTGTCTGATTCACATAATTGCATATTATGAAATTGTTGTTCAATTTCATCTAACCAATTAATAACACTATCTTTTCCCCCATAGAATTTTATAGGATCTTTTACAAATTTATCAATTAATGCTTTTGATATTGGTGATGATGTGGAATGAGATAAAGTTGAATTATTTGAATCAGTTGATGGAATGTGATGATGAGTAAGTGTTGTTGTGATATTACCTGAATGATCAGTAGGTTTATCAATAAAATCTTTATTGTTAATAACTTGTGAATTAATTAAAGAATGTCTATTTGAACATTGTGAAGAAATATGAGAATCAGGTGTTTGTTTAGTATTAATATATTCAAGGGTAAATAATTGACAAACATCTGTATAACAATTTATTTTGTGTTTGTTCAAACTATACCAAATCATTGATCGACCAACGAAAAAATATGGAAGAATTTTAAGACATTCATCAAATGATAATTTCAAATTAGAAAATGTTGAATCAAGTTGAATAAACCATTGATATGCATTTTCATGACCAGAAAATGGTGATATATGATCACGAAAAAAATCAAGTAAAGATGGTTTTTCATCTAAAGCATTTGAATGATTATCATTTAAATCAGGTAATTGTTCTTCATTAAATTCAGATGTTTGTTGATTTGTTTGAATTTGTTGATTTTGTTGTTGATTTGAATGAAGTGAATCATCTTTTTCTATTCGTTCTTCTACAGCTGATAAAGTTTTTGATTCGAGTTGTTTTTGTAAAATTGCATTATCAGTGAATAAATTTTTAATTTGTTCATTTGTAATTTGTGTTTGGATATCAGAAGAAACTCTATTAGGATTATCTTTTTAACTCATTGAAAAGGATGATATGTTAGGTAAAAGAGATGATTTTGTCGTAGCTGTTTGTCGTTGTTTATGGGGTAATTCAAGATTTTTAATTGATATATTTGTTTGTGAAACTTTGGAACGGGTGTTCATAAATTTTTGTTAATCATAATAGAATAAAGTGAAGATGCAAGCTAATAAAAGCCAAGAGTCGCCAATTGTTAGGGTTGAATTATCGGTCAGTTTATTTTGGATGAATATTCAAGAATGAATCAGGTGGAAGAAAATGAAAGAACGAATATATGTGTATAATAAAGAAAGAAAACAAAGTAAGAAAGAAAACAGAAGAGAAAGAGAATGTATGATTGTGTATGTAATGCACAGATCATAACAGAAATGGACGTCGAACAGAATATTCATATTGCTGTTGACTACGAAATGGTACTTCTCGAATAATTCGATAACCAGAAAACGAGAAGCATTGAACTTATGGATACGTCGTATTGAAAAATTAAGTTTACTGTGATCAATTTCATTTTCATCAGCTGAAGGGTCATCCATATCTTCCATAAACGGCACTTGAGCATTTGAAGCACCAATTGGTAATTTTCAAGTTCGACCGTGTGTAACAGAACCAGTGTGATGAGCCGTCTTTGTAATATAAACAGTTTAATGTTAAAGTAAAACAGAACGACGAGAAATGCAGAATGTTGCAATACAAAAATTATTATAAAACATGTAAAATACTCTTATTATAGTTATCTAATCGTTCAATTTCTTCACTCATGTTTTGTTTCAAATTCAATTGGTGTACATGCAATGAATTGATTATTTAATGGAAAAAAGACATCTTGATATAATATACGAACATCGAAGAAGGACAAAACGAGATCCAGAACGACGTACGATTGAATAGTACCTGTTCATGTACATGGACCATTTTGGAATTCCAAAATTCTTCGAAGAAAAAATAGCTCATTTTCTACAAAAAAGAAAAATGATAATTAATCATCATGTAAACTAGAATTTTTATTTTCAGTATCAATGCTCACACACATTGTAGCTGTTACAGTTTTTACACCGCTTGTACCTCAATGAACGATAAAGGAATAATCCACGTCAATATCTACAATAATATTTCAATGATACGTTAGGAAGTATGCCAAACATTTGATTGTAAAGAAAATCAAATTGTTGTTGATAATTTTGCATTACGTTGAAATCGAAAAATGTATCATCAATAAGATGTTCATTAGAAAACAATATTGAATTTGACTAAACATTGACCAACAAAATAATGTTTGTTCTCCTAGAGCAATAGAACCATGAGCTAGTTTTGCGAAATATTGAACGCAACTTTTCGAAGCAAATAAACTGAAAAAAGAAAGATATAAAACTACTTACACGAAACAATTCTCTCAAAACTCGTGATGTTTACCTTTGATAGACCAAGCCAATATGAAGCAACACTTGTTCCCATAGGAGATACAATGCATGAATCGAATATAGTTCCTTACATTTATCATATAGAGAAGGAAATAGATACAGATATGTCTGTATAAATACAGGCATTGGTAAGATTTCATTAGGGTCATCAAAGGCATGACAAGACGTAATCGTACCAGAATCGGCATTGCAACGTATATAATAAATGTTCGTAATTATGAAGCTTTTTATTTTGCATATCGAACTAGATCTCTTGGATAACGATAAAATGAATGTGGATATTTCATTTCATTAAGATAATTGTCGGTAAATGTTAATGCATTTGGATCAAATTTAAGAATATCATACCAAACACTTAATAAAGATCTGTAACACAAAAATGATCAACTATTGAATACTAACACAAAAATGCTTAAACAAAATCATGCCGTAATTATTCAAATTTTAATTGAATTGATTCCGCCAAAAAAGAATCTTTTTTGTATAACATAAAGATAAAATGATAATCTTCATTCGAATATAGTATTCCAAAACATATTAAAGCTACTACCATTATGTTCTTTTATACCATAAATAAACTACTCATTTTACTCAGATGTAAAATGCTAAAAATATTCAAGCACACAGTCTATGTAAATGGTTTCTTTTTATTGTAGAGAAAACAAAGTCATAAAAACGTTTTTTAATTGCTTACCGAAGATGAATTTCTAACAATAAGTGAAAATAGTCAACCGTGGATTGCTTTGGCACAAATAATAATGAAAACACTGGAGAAATACGTCGAATACCAAAACAAGATTCCTTTGAAAATTTAATACGCTTAACGCAATCGTCAACGTTTTTGTGTGGGATGTTGTGATGGTGATCGACTAAAATCAGACCAGCGATAAGTGTGTGTTTTTCACATGGTGCTGAGAGCTAGTAAATCACGACACATTGATTGAACATTTGAAGAAAAATGCTTCATTCCTAAAGTAAATAACGAACTAGCTAAACCACATAAAATTAATAAAAAATAATGTTTAAAAATACATATATATGCATATATATCAGTGAAATAGATCACACACTGTTCTACATTTGATGAAACTTTGTTAATGTTAAAATAATTGATTAAATGACTCGATTAATGCTCGGTTACTAAATAAAAATTAACATACTATCATCAACTTGTATATTTATTCCTGTAGCTTTTATTAATTTAATATTTTCCACGATTTTTTGCAGTAAGGACCAAGCAGGTGGTGATACTGGCAAATCCCATAATCCGGGTAACAGAGTGTATTAACATGTTCACGAACTGGTGGAGGAATTTCGACAAGAAAAGCCATAATCTAAAAAATAAAACAAGGATACTAATCAATTTGAATAAAGATACTTACAGATCAAACATTACTTTGAGTTTGTTTCAATTTAATTATTGGTTTTCCATCTGTGCTGAGCATTAACATTAAATAAGACCTATGCGAATTCTGTTATTGCTTATAGATATAACCTTCCAAAGAAACAAGCTGTAGTATTGTTCTTTTCATAATCTATGCTTTACTATCCACGATGCCCGCATGAATCCGATGTTCGCATCGTTGATAACATTCTACCAATTTTTTATTTAACCGAATAATTCTTTTAAGCTCATTTACTAATGAAAAAATACAAATTTCTGAGTTGTTTTTGTGACTGCTTTTGTATAGAATACATTTATCTTGATATTTCATCAATGGTGAAAAGCAAGTCATGCAAAAAGCACATATCATAATGAAATGAAATATCAAATTGTCACCATAATGAATCAACTGTTGTTGGAATATCATGAATTATTGATCTATTTGCTAATCTTAACAAAGATAATAATGTTAATATTGATGTCTTGGTTATCTTACATTCACAAATAAAATCTAATATTTTGTACAAAAATTATCCATGATTTGTAGTATGATTTTCAGTTGTCACAATATTTATATCTTTGTCGAATTCATCTGAATCTTCATTTTCAAAATCTTTTGCTTCCAATTTTAGAAAAATATCACTATTTAACATACTTCAAAATCCTCATTGTTGTAATAATCATCTAAACAACGTGAAAAAAAATGCTAAAATCAGACGAGAGAAGTAGATTCATTCAAAATCGAAAATTTTATTACCTTTGTTGTATAAATCTTCTGGTTCGAAATTAGTATTATTTTGTTCTTAAGTACAATTTCGATCACAATTGGAATCGATAGTACTGTTTACATTTGCTGCAATAATCGTAGAAAACAGTTATATGAATTTTGAAATTATATAACAAATTTACATGAATTTAAAAAAAAACGTTTATTCAAATGGAAAAAAGAACTTTTTTCTAACTATGTTGTCGATATGGTAAGTTTTGTTTTCTTCTTAAATCTCGATCTATATAAAATCAGTTACAATAAACAATGGTAAAACATAATTTTAAAATGTAAATTACCATGTGTCTGAAATTGATTAATACGTAAATCATTAACATCGGGTTTATGTGTATTAATTGGCTTATTTATTATACCATCTGAAAAATAATTTCATATCTAAAAAAAAACAACTTGTATTAATTATCAACTGATCTGCAACGATAAAATAAAAAGTATACTGAATGTAAAATAACTTTTGATGAAAAGATATGTCATAATTTCTTTTCTTCATAATATGTAGTTACAGGCTAAAAAAGTTCTAGTCGTATACGTGGAAGGCTTCCATTTTGAATTCGTTGTCTACTTGTTGCCTCTATAAAAGAGACAAGGACACTTATAAATGCGTAAGAAACCAGCGACCTCTTTAAAACGCGCTCAGAATGCATTCTTTAGTCGTTCATCTTGATCTGGGAATAATCGAATGAAACAAGAAATCCATCGTCTTGAACAGGCAAAGAAAATATGTTATTTAAAGTGAAATGATTGTAAGGAACGTTTGTCAAATCAATAGATCAATCTGAAAAAATCTTCTATTTTACTTATAATGTTTCGCATAGAGTAGACAAATTAATTGAATAAGTTATAACACGATTTTTTATTTGATGAACATATAAACATTAATCAGTGAAGAACACAAACAATAAGCCAAAATGATGCTAAAATAAAAGAAAAAAATTTTGAGAAGTGAACAGAAAATATAATAACATCTAATATATAAAGAAGAATGTTTGTTTGTTCTTCACGAATTAGGATCCTGCAGAAGTCAGTGCAATCTACCTTTCAGTTGCATAATCTTTCGTCCTGAAGATGGTAAGAGACTACTTTGCGATTCAAAATTTTTACCTCCGAGTTCTTAGTTCCATGTGGAAAGAGTTCATGCGTATTACTGTTTTCTCAATAACTCCAGAACCAAAATAGGTAAAGATTTGAGATTTCCGCCATCAAAGAAAGGAGATTCTTGATTATGAAAGTATATCAAAATCAGATTGTTAGATTTCTGACGAGTGAAGTTTTAGCATACTTTCATAGTGAGTAATACTTATTCGATCCGGGCTTCAACGAAAAACTGAAATAAAAATTAATCAAAGCTTTCATCAAGCGTTCGAAAACACTTAAAGTAAAACGTAATTCACAAAGTTTTAAAAGATGGAAATTCAAAAAAATGTTGAAAAGAGAAACTGGTTCGAATGTATTTTGCAACGTCCCATATCAATAACTCATAGGAAGCTATATGACAATTGTTTAAGCTTCTACGATAACACCGGCTATTTATGCTAGCGTCCAATAAAAAATTATAGAAAAGACGCATGATAAGTAACGTGGATACAATCCATAATTAGTATTAGTTCGATCAAATGGAAATAATACTTAAGGGTATCCAAAAGTAGTGGCAACGATATTTTAGTACCACATATTAAGCTTGATAAAAATTTCTTTTTACACAGGATGATAAAGAAAAAATTACTCTTTTTTTCTATGCTATTTGATCGTACTTCAGTTGACATCATAACAACAAAGTCCTAGTAAGACTAGTTTGCCAAACATATGTAACGGTTACAGACGTTCATATTTTCTCCAATATGCATTCTTGTCTTGATGTTTTCTTTGTTTTTCTTCTTTTTCTTCTGTTTATTCTATTCTGTAGAAAGTGAAAGAAGTAAAGCTAAATCGAATCTTAACACTCTTCATTTTTGT